CACTCATTCATGGCCAATGGCAAGGTAATCCAGGATGCCTCCTCAATGCCAACTTGTCATACTGGTTAATTCTCTGGGCCTCGAAGCTCCTCCGTTGTTCTTGATTTCCTTCCATTTTAATTTAAAAATATAGTAATAATTCACAATAAAGATGCTTTATAATAACTCAAGTTATAATAATAATTTTATGTATAGTTTCCATATAAAATCTATGACCTACGGGCATCAACATCATTGGGAATCATTGGGACAAAATTGGGAAATCAGAGTTCTAGCAGGAGCTGCGAAGCCAAGTAGCAACATCAGCTACTAACTGAAACAACAACAACATCTAACTGTGGCAATTGCGTAAATTATGTTCTAATACAACATCAATTACAATAGCAAGCGGCCCATGGCCAAAACGGTAATGATGTAGTCAGCCTCTCGGTTGGGTTTTAGCCGGGTCTAGTCTACTACTCGCCCCTGTTGCAGCCACTAGTGGCTTGTGCTCCTCAACAAGCTTGCGGCATTCACGCCTTGTTGTAGCCTGCCTCATCCCCATCCACATCCCCCTCCTCCCCTTCCTCCTCCTTTTCAGTTGTTTTGCAGTTGTGTAGCTGTTATCGTTGTCGCTGAACCGGCTGGTCTGGCGAACATATCCCTGCTCTCCAAATAGCAGTTGCCATAGCTCGACTTTGGTTTTATATGAGTTTAGTACTAAATCAAGACTCTGAATCGTAATAGTTCAAGGTTATTAGGGCTATTAAATATTTTTTAACATTTTCTTAGCTTAATATGCACTTTTTAAAAATTTTGTCATTAAATTTCTCATATAACGTTCTTCCAGGTTTCATCACCCCCATTGGTATAAAAATCACTGTCAGATTGACTTAATAAACTGTTTTTAAAGAACGGGGGTATCATTCAGTCGAAATCGTTCACGTTTCACCATTACCTGGCGGATTCCAGTAAAAATTTCATGCATGTTGCTGCCGTTGTCGTTGCAGGAGCAGCAGCAGCAGCAGCAGCAGCAGCAGAAGCAGCAGCAACAGCCACAACAACCGTTTTACGCATGCGTGTGGCTACTGAGCCCACTGCACCTGTTGGCCCCTCAGCCCGTCGGCTCCTTATCAACCAACAGATGCAACAGCTGACTGCGGCACGGCTTCAATTTATGTTTTAATTGTGGAAATTATGTGACACATGTTGCTGTTGTTGCTTCTGGGTGCTTGGGCGGCGCATCTGAGAGGATCGGGCAGACCGGGGATCCGACGTCTGTCATAACTGGTAAGGTTGTAATTAAACTGGTGCTGAGACCACCGCCCCCTCCAAAAACCCCTCTCCTCGTGGGGCAACTCTACCTGCGTCGCGTACGTTGCCGCCCATCGGATGAAACAGTCTGGAATGGGGAGACAGCGTTTTGTGGGTTTTTCTCGGGCTGGTTGTAAACATTTTACGGTTGTTTATTGCCCCCAATTGATGTATGGGTGGATGGATGTTGCATGCTCGATAGTGCGGTCGTAGAAATGTGAGCACCCGATAGAGGAGTCTATCGAATGGGGCAGTTGATTGATATGGGGGCTATAATGGGTGGGCTTTGTTTCGGATTGGAGGGAAATTGAATTAAAAATTAGCTCAAGCTGCAAGCTATGAAATTAGCAGGGTAAAGGTTATAAAAGCTAGAATAGGAAAATTAGCGGTCGAGAATTACTGTTTTCCATTGCAATCTACTATAAAGCGAATCAAAAAATATATAGAACTAGAACTAGAGAATAAGTAAATTATATTCATAAGTAAAGGTAATAAAGCTAGTAACTTGAAAAAGAAGTTTATCTTTAAATTAATATAGTTAAACGCTTTACAATTCAAATCCTTATTAATGACCGACTTTGATTTATCCACAACCACCAAATTTAAACTGAGCTAACTGCCATGTGAAAAGTATATAATTACTCTCCTTTAAATTGTTATGATTATTACTTTTTGTTGTTTTATGCGCGAGAAAAACTCTAACTCTAACTGCACTTTGATTGATTGATTGCCCCAAAGACCGAGAAGTTGTTGACTTTACGGCGTGTTTATGGCTGCGCTTGAGTCTTGAACCCAAATGAACTCAACACAAGCCAACCGCAAACAGTACCGCGAAATCCTCCCGCTCCACCCACCTCATCGTACGTACGTAAGCTTACATTATGGGGTGTTTGGGGATCGCTGCTCGTTGCCTAACCATAACGGTAATAGTAGCCCAACAACCGGAGCGGTCCACGCTTTGGGTCACCTTCCGAGTGGCGGTCGGGGATCTCTAATAATAAAAATCAAAATACCGTCACGTAAACCGATAACAAGGCACAAGACCCGGCGTCTGTTGAGGAATCGGAGTTACTGCCAAAACGCAATTAAGACCGACATTTTTATGGTGTTCAAACTATAAAATTCATATAATTAAATTGCAGTTATAACTATAACAGCAACAACAAAGGCCGCACCACCAGCAACACCAACGGCAGCAACACCACAAGCAGCAACACCAACAACAGCAACATGCAACACCACCAAGCAGCTAGCGAAACTATCATAAAGCTTCGATCAAATCTCCGCTGAGAGTGAATAATTTCCTAAATGAGAGCATAAAGTGAAAAGCGAAAATCAATGAAATGACGCCATGAACAACAACAAAAATTGCGATCATTGGCTGCTATCGAAATTCTTAAAGAAAGCAAGAGCACGAAGTAGCTGAATCAGGTGATTGCGGAAATTTATACCTTACCATAGGTACTTTTAAGTTACTAGACATTTATTTTTTTCAATTAGTTTTTTTCTTTTTATACCGGCGATTAATTTACAAATGGTGTATTTTCTCTAACTACTAAATGCTTTCTTTTTATAAAACCAATACATCAATTAAGATTTTATTTATTTATCAATAAACTGCCATTAAAAGTTGAAATTGATCATCAATAAAATTAAGTCCTTTAGTTAACAGTTAACAATAATACGATTTATAAATAGTAAGGCTGAAAATATGACATATTTAGCAAAAATTGAATTGAAATTTTATTGAAGTATGTATGTATTATCTATATATATAAATATGTATTATAAAAATTACGTTGGTTTTTCGAAAAGCTGGCAATAAACTTAAATGCATACTCACATTTCAAATTCAATGGCTATTTGCATATGTTCATTGGTCATGTTTCGACCAAAATGTAGTTTTCCATTTGATTTTTATATTTTTCCTATAGCATGCTAATAAAAAACAAGAAAAGAAGCAAGTAAATAGAGCTTAAATAGACCAAAACACTAAGCTTCCAAAAATCGGTCTCTGTCGGCGTATTCCTCTCTTTAGGCTCCTCGATCACTCACCTTTTATTGCAGTTGTGCAGCAGGTGTCGAAAGCTCTCTTCGAGCTTTTCAAACCGTTGTTTTCGTTTAAAATTTTTCGCTACTCTCCGTCTTACTATAGCGGGTTTGGTGCCGGTTATTGTTGTTGCTGTTGCTTGGTAGTTGGTAAGTTCATTGATGAAAATCAGACGGCTAAATGAGCGTAAGGAAGAGAGTAAAAGAAAAAATAAACCATTATTTTTTAAATAGTTTGAGGAAGGGAATGAAAAATACATAGATACAAAAATTTTTATAAAATACACTTGCTTTCTGAGTAGCTGATCTGAGTAGTAAAGAAACACAAAATCCTTGCATAAAACCCAATTTTCCTTAAATGAAGATTTTAATAAGATTTTTGGTTATAGTTTGTACTTAACGTGTTCACTTGGAGTTTTAAGGACTTATATCTTACATGAATTTAAACAACATCTTTGTTTTTGTGTGATTCGTGTTAAATATTTCGAATAATTTTTAAATGTACAATTGAATTACGAACTTTAAACAAATCCAGGCCCGTATCCAGAAATTTGTTTCGGGGGGTGCTCAAGGACAAAAATCAATAAAAAATGTGGACTTATTCGAATAAATTCAATAAATTAAATTAAATTTGGCTTAGTTTCAGTCTACTGATCTATACGTTCCTGTTAGGTCAGGTTTCTTCTACTGAAGACTTTTTAATGAAAAATCTTAAATAGAAAAAATTTTTGAATTCAAAGATTTCGGGGGTGCCCGGGCCCCCCGGGCACCCCCCTGGATACGTGCCTGAACAAATCAAATTAAATTTCGTGAATACTTGGCAACTTTCCCATTTAATAAAACAATATAAAATAATCTTGGAAAAATAGTTTTGAGATGTCAATTAATGGATAACGCCAAGCAGCTCTTTACATGTTCAACTTTTGGTTGAAGCTACCTATTTGTTTCCATTTCAGGGCCGATAAAATGTTAATAGAAAACACAGGAACAATATGTAGTAGATGTCAAGGTTTTTCTAAGTTAATATCTTCCTGTTTCACGTTTCCTATCTTTCTTTCTCTTTCGTTTTGTATCTTTCTCTGTTAGAAATTTCGCGAATAACTTTTTTTTAACAGCTGTGCGGTTTTATTCTCTCTCTTCCAATCTCTGTATGTAACAGCAGGTGCAGCGGCAACAAGTGTAAATGTGCCGAACAAAGCTTTTTTGCTCTCCCGCCGCTCTTGCGCTCTCATACTGTTAATAAATTTTACGTTACACTGTCCAACCTATTTTATTTTTTATAATCTATGGCAAAAACAATAAATGTTAAAAAAAGCTCTATTATAAAAATGTTTTTTTTTTCTGACACATTTTTAATTAAAGAAACTTTGTCAAAAAGGTTTTTGTTTGATATGCTCTAACACTCGGCAATAATTATATTACGTTTGTTAAATTCCGTAAAATAGTAAAACAATGGAATTTATATTTAAATGGAAAAAAAATTCAAACGTTTTATAAATTACTTTTTTGGACTGTTTGGTCATTTGAAGACAAATTTCGTCTTGACCATTTTCGGGATTTCGGACGCGAAGTACAAATTCCGCGTTGCGCTGTGTTAAGTTAACATCGCCATAACAGAGCTGCGAGTAAAGCGAGCCATGTCTATTTAGGTGCCGACTTTGGGCCCACAGTGAAAACTGAAAATTCGCTCGAATCAGACGTGTGTGACGGAGCTCCGCTTTGTATCCGAACCAAACCGAACTGCTAACTGCAACTTTGGCGCGACTTTTCGCGAAGTGAACAAGCTGAAGAAGCCAAGCGAAATTAGATGTGAAACTAGTGTGCATGGCAGGCTGAAGAGAAAGAGAGAAATAAGGTGCATATGTGCAGCAAGTGTAACGATACCCAATACCCAGGCTAAAGAAAAAAAATAACAAAAAAACATAAACACAAATAAAACCCCTTAGTGGCCAGCAGCCATGTCTACGAAACTGGAGCAGCAGCACTCGAAGCCCATTCTGAGTCCAACTCGATCCCTGGACGAAGGTTTCGAAAGTGATCCGGATCGGGTTTCCACCGATTCGGAGCATCAGACAAGTGGAACCACTGGCAGCAGTACCTGCAACAACAGCAGTGCAGCCAACAGCAGCAGCAGCAGCAACAACAACAATGCCAGCAAGTTGGCGCAGCTCAGTTCGGCGGCCACTGGGGGCGCCTCAAAGGCGACGGCCGGAGCAACTGCATCCACACCCAGTCCTTCTATGGGGAACACCGGAAATGTCAGGGGCGCCCTCACCTTGGCTGCCCCCCAGCTGCAGAGGCGGGAGTTCTTCAAGGATCAGCCGAAGCTGCGGCATCAGGCGCCGCCCCCGCAGCAGCCACGCCTCCAGTACCAAAAGCAACGGCAACCCCTGGTGCCCAGTGCTGCATCCAGTGTGCACAACCATAGGTTAACGTCGTCGCTGCAGGGCTCCTCGGCAGCTGGAAACAATGGGGCGACCGGAACCGGAACTGCCAACTACCGTCGCGGACGTCGGCTGCACATGAATCCCCCTCGAAACGGGATGCGTTCCCACTCCGTGGACGCCATATCGCGTCACAACCGCCACGGCTACGATCCCAGTAGCCTGATCCTGAAGCACGACGGGAATGGCAACATAAGCAGCAGCAATGCCGCCGCCCCCACCCGCATGCTGAACTACAAGGCCACGGGTGGAGGCGGTGCAGCAGGAGCCCCGGCAGCCGGACAGGCCCTGCTCGTCCAGCCCATTTCCAGTGCCACTCTGTCGCCGCTGGTGGCCGCTGGCGTGGTCGATGTGGTCGAGGGCGGTGGCTCCTCGCCGGTTATCGCCTCGGCCACCCACAGCCTGTACACCTTCTATCCGGCGGAGGGAAATCTGCAGGTGTGGCAGACGGAGTGCGGCGACCTCACCTACAAGTCGTCCCGGAATATGCATCAGCTTCACAAGGCGCCCGTGTGCTGGACACAGTCCATTCCCAGGCAGGCCAGAAGGTGAGTGAAGCAAACTGATTTGATTTTTTATCTAAACCATTAACGTTGAGGAAGAACTTGACCTTGAGTAAGGCTAGGAAAAGCGATTCTGACTTACAGATTTTGAATTAGTAAAAACAATTATTTTACATGAAAACACTGAAATATTTTAAAGACTTACTGGTTTAATTACTAAAAGTTTCCCTGTATTCGTAGAAACAGATAAATTGGGCATAAATAAAGTTATGTGTTTTTGATTTTGTTTTAATTTTTACATTGAACTTTGGGTTCTTGACTTGCTAGATGTGTCTTTATTGATAAGCCATAAAAATAATTCCACTTAAAGCTGAAATTAAATGTAAATGAAATTAACTAAAATGCTACTTTCAAACATTAAAGTTTAAGAAATGGAAGATAATTAACGGAATTGGCCATGAAACTAAATTTAATGCTTGGTTTTCATAAAAATGTAAAGTTTAATTACACAGTTCTGTAGTATTACCTTGTAACACATCAATTGAAAAAACATAAAAATGTGTTGGAATACTTTCTCAAAAAGCGATAGTGGAAGCGATACACATTTGGTGTCCTCCTTTTTCGTTCATGGCTGCTCACTCTAATCATGTTCTCTAAATTAAAGACGATCATTTAAGTATTATTTTTAGTTAGACAAGCTACGCTTAAATCTAGAGCTCAATAAATCGCTCAAAATGTAAGCTAATTAGTTAATGGTTCAGTTTTATTTTTGGCCAAAAACGAAGTCAATAGCCATTTCATCTTTAGCGCTTGAACAGAGTGAAAGTCTTTTTAACAGCAGCATCGGCAGCAGCGGCAACAAGAAGGGGGCCAAGATACAGAGAGAGAAACAGAGAGGAAAAGTCGGGGAGAAAGACAAAGAGGGCCGGGGCAGGCACATGTGTCATTTAACTTTGCCGCGGGCCAAGTTGCAGTGTTGCAAGTTGCGCTGTGGCAATTAAAATGCCTTCGGAAACTGCTTCACATTGATTACCCTCAGCTCCGTCCCTAAGCAGATTGTTAAATTCGCCTTTACATAACTTAACATTGCCCGGGGTTCGCCCGAAATGTGTGTGACCCCAAATTAAACGCAAATTGCACACCGAAATTCAGGCACATAAAGTTTGCCAATTTCGCGCTCAACATTTCCAAGAGACATTTTAAGTTTTTGCCTAAATTTGGGTTGGGTTTGGGTTTATTTTGTTCGCTTGGAGACTGTTACAATTTTTGTCTGTGAAATGTGTCTGAAATATTTAATAGCTCTGGCAATAGTTTAACTTTTATGACTATGGACAGATGTAGAAACACCGGGGCGAAGGGGCGTGTCATTGGTTAAAATGGCAAAATTATTTAGTTTTCCCAATGACGCCGGAAAACAAAAGTGAAGTAAAAGCGAGCGCATTTATTAGCTCATTTAAATTGGGTAAATCGAATGAGATAATACTTATTGCCCATTAAAATATGACCTTCTAATACCGAATATTATGGAATAGTATTTGTAATTATTACAATTACATTATATTATCTATCGATATGATATATTACTTATAAGGAATGTTTTTTAATTCAAAAAGGATCCTTTTTGAAAAAATTTAGAAAAATTAAGCATAAACTTTTTTGGGGAACCTTTACATACGAATAGATTTATATTGATTAATAGACGAATATAACAGCATAAAAGTAACATTTTTTATTTATTTATCATTTTACTATTTTATAATATTAACTCTTAAAATACTTACTGACTTTTTTGCTCAGGAAAAATGTTATCCTGGAATAAAACACACTTGACCAACTTAAAATTAATATATATAAATATTTTGCAAATTGGGAAATGTTTCGAATTTTACTTTCAAATTTCGTGTAATGCCTAAATGACTTTTAATGTAGAAATATCAGTCTCAGTTTCATTTGGAGCTCTCATTGCATAAGCACACGCAAATATGTTTATTAAAAGCCTTTTACTTTGACTAAACACCGCCCACTCCAGTGCCGCAACTACGGGTATCTGCCCCAATGGGTGGTGTGGGGGCACAAGAGTGCCGCAAAAATGGCAAACATTTCAATCAGCAGGAGCAGACATGCAAAGTGAATCAAAAGCGAAAGAAAAAGTAGCAGTGGATTGCAGCGAAAATGTTGATAAGGCTCCCAAGGGGCATTCAACGGAAATGTGTACTATCAATCAAAAGACTTAGGCAACGAACTTGATTAGTTCAACGCACTGGGAGTTGTCTTTGGTGTTTTTTGCATTTTGCTTGCCTGCAATTGTGATGCTTTCGGAATTTTCTCTATTACGTATGTTGTCATTTACGGCTCTTAAAGTTCGATTGATATCCCACTCGAAAACACAACTCACATCTCTGTTGCAAATCAAATTGCATGATGCGCAAATATTTTTGCTTCGACAGCGACTTTAACACCAAGAGCAACAATAAAAGTAAAAGTTGGCAAATTTATTTACATAGTTTTGGGTCTTTTTTACAATGTGTCATACCTTTGCTCACTTTTGCTTTTCATGAGACATTAGGTGGTGCTAGTTTTTTCTTTTTGTTGGATGCTGTGTGGGGATGGACGACGTATAGGTGTCCGAGATGCGAGCATTTGAAAGTGTTTTTTATGTATACGATGTTTTTTAACTCTTGGATGGGGTGTTGTTGGAGAGATGTTTTTGCTTGTGGCGTGCGAAAGTTTTTTTTGGCTGATGATACTCCATGTTTGATGTCTGCCCGATGGTGCCAAACTTCCGCTTTATGCATATTATGGGAATTTGCCAAAATGTATTCGCACTTAATTTGAAATTTGCCAGTTGGCCCAACAAATTAGTTTTTCATGCGTGGAGGAGTTTACAACTCGAAGTGCAATTTGTATGAGAAGTGGAAAAAAAAGAAGTCGAAAACTGTTAAGTAAAAACCTGAGTTGGTGGTAATATTTATAGTTTATATAATATGCATGAGTTTTCCTTCCTTCAAAATAAAAATTAAAAACAAGAAAAGTGGGGATTGTTTTAAAGTAACTTCGGTAAACCAAATCGTTAGAACATCAAATCTCTGAACCTTTAAAATCTGCTGTATAATTCCAACCTTATGTAAGCACATCAATATCAAGGCCAAGCCAATGTTATGCAAGCCCTTACCACGTCTCTTACTTGTTTGCCAACTCTCAATGACGCCATTAAGAAGCCCATAAAATTGTCACTTAACCGCCGATGCTGGCTTCTTGCGAGTTAATTCGATAAACAAATGCCGCTAATTGCTCCTCATCAGCCAATCGGGAGATATCCAACCATAATTGCTGACTATTTGCCGTGCCGGAGGTGAGGGTTAAAGTTTCCTTCTGATTGCTGTTTGCCAATCACTTTGCCTCGCTGCTAGATGATAAACTTGTTGCTCGGCATTCACTTTGATTGCTCATCATTGAGCTCATCACCAGTGCCGAACTCATCGGCAAATATGGTGCCTAATTAAAAGAAATAAAAGCTCAAATAGAACCAAAGGCGATCTTCCGTATTTGCCTTATGAGTTGCCTGCTTCTCTTCGGCTGGTGATTTTTTTGGCAAAGTAAAAACAAACATGAAATTCGTATGTCAATAATTGCGGCGCAGATCTGAGATTTGAAGTCTCGGAGCTGTGGGCCTAAAAATAGATCAAATGTTGAAGGAAGCGGCTGGAGGGTCTTGCAAATGAGACGAGCAAATTGTATTTATTTTTACATAATGCTCAAGCGGGAATTTTGCGACTGCTAAGTTGAAGTGTTGACTTTGAGTCAAACGCTGACACATAAAGTCGAAAGACTTGAGCAGCGAACCTGTCATTTAGGCAATAGGATAACTAGAGTGATTCATTTTCTCGACTCAAATCTTACACTTTTCAAGCATTTTCAATGTCAAACAGTTTGGTTAATTGCTTTTTTAAGTAGGGGAGAGTGGGGCATTGTCGTCACTTTTTTTTTAATTGCGAAATTTGTTGATAAAATAACTTATTTTTATCATGTAATATACATGGTTGGATTCGGAAAAGATCTGGCTATAAAATGCAGTAAGTATTTCGGACATCCTTTCATTTGTTTATTAATACGAAACTGTTATCTAAAAGAAGGCAAAATTGGAAAATTGAAAAATCGTGGGGCAAAGTCGTCACCCCCCTGGGGCAAAGTCGTCACATAGAATAATGAATGCAAATATAGGTACCCATGTGCACAAAACTATTTCAACTTGTCAAACACACATTTATTGATATTCATACATATAAAAAAGTGGAACACTATACCTATTTTTTGCAAAAATTTGACACATTCAGATCTAAGTGAAGGATAGAAAGCAAAAATCAGAATTTCTTAAAGATTTTTCTTTGTGCGACCTCTTTTTAGAATTTTATTTTTTTTTAAGAACATTTTGGAGAAATTATATTTTATATTTAATAATTTACATAAACAATCACAAAACAATAATAAATTGATACGAGTTTGTATTTCAGTCTGAGATAATACAGTGACGACTTTGCCCCACCCGTTGAGTGACGACAATGCCCCACGCGACATTTTTTGATAAAAACATGAATAACAAATCGAAACTCGAATCAGGTGTTACACAACCTACCATCTCGTGTTCGCCAAACATTTCTCAACAATAATAACTCACCTTTATACTTCTTTGATCAAAAATGTACTTGGAAGAAAAAAAGTTCTGCGCCGGAGAAAAATTACTTTTGAGGCTCCGAAACACTTTCTGATGAATAAATAATTATGCATAACCTATAATTCTACCAAACTCCGTCAGTAATGTAGGAATAGTGCAATACACTTACGCTAAAAAAATTGGGTTGGTACCCCTTTTATTTTTTAAAATAATAGCGAGTGACGACTTTGCCCCACTGACGACATTACCCCACTCTCCCCTACACATTTTTTTGGCACCCACACTTGACGGCGCTGAAACACTTTCAATTTCGAAGCTTTGACGTCTGTTTTAGCACCATTTTTGGACGAGTCAGCAGACAAAAGAACTATTA